CATAGTCACATAAATCGCGGTACGCTTCGGTACGGGTACGCGGTACGGGTACGAAATTCGCTAGATGTAACGAATTCGGTACGAAGGGGGGTAGGTTCATTTCGGTACGAAGTGGTACGAAGCGGTACGGTGTACCATGTATTCGGTTCGGTGTACCAAAAGTCAAAACATAAGTAAACAAAAATAGATAAGATGAGCATAAGTGCATAACATTACAAAATCCAATTGAAAAACAAGCCTACAACTTCTTCATCAACATCAATATAATTTTGGGTGTTGCTAATCTGGGACTCACTGTTACTATCATCTTGAGAATTATGGGCTTTATAATTTTTGCCAAAAGCCATTGAAAAAAGAGAGAAAAAATTATTGGATATTGAGGACTTTAGATTGGGTTGTGGTTACTGGTTAGACTTGAGAGACATATATATATATATATATATATATATATATATATATATATATATATTTGGAGACTGCCTAGGAAAAAAAGGGAGAAGTCAGAGAACAATCGAGAAAGGCACGAAGACTATGAACGACTCGCACGGAACTTGGGAAGTGCAATCGCGAATTGACCTTTTCAATTTACGGAGAAAACAATCGCTTGGAAGAGGGAAGGTCGCGGGAGAGAGGAAATTGCGATTTGGATCGCTGGACCGCCGGCGATTGGTACTCCGTATTATCCGACTTGGTGCGACGTTCTAGGGCATCTGGATCGCTGGCGAATTGCGAATTGGAGCGCCGTACCACACCGATTTGGATCGCCGTACCGGTGGCGATCGGTTCGCCGGCGACTTGCGATCCGGTACGATTCGTACCAATTCGGAAATCGCGGCTAGGTAAGCGAATTCTGTAACTATGGTTCCTTCCATAAGTTGATAATGAGTATTTAGCATACCATGGATGATGGAACCAACAAATGTAAGAAATTAGTTTAGATTGGGTTGGAATAATTTGATGCGAGATGAGATTGCCTTCTGTTTTCTTGCGGATATACCACTAAACCATGAGTCAAGCAGTTCCTTATACTGAACTTTATTTTAGACTCATTTTTTTCAACAAATTTATATTATGCGGTTCAAAATTTGAGTTGCAAGTGTTTTATACTGTCCCTGCATATTGCAAATTGATTATCTCACAGTGAGCTTAATTAGGCAGTACGGACCATAGAAGAGTCAGAGCAGCCGATTGCAAAATCGATGTCTAAACATCACATGCAAAAACTTATAAGATTTGAATTCATAAAAATTAGCAAAATGCTCAAATAAAATGGAAAACAAATCACACATTAATTCCTAAAATTGAAAATTATTTGTAGTTGCTTACCTTTTAGATTAGAGACTTGAGAGTGGGGAACGAATGACTTGGGCGGTGGTGATGGCGGCGGTGGAACGACACAGTGTGGCCGGCGGCGGTGGGACGAGTGGGGCTGGGGTTTCGACTCTAGAGCTGCGCTGCCTTTCTTTCTGACGATTGAGGGTTGGGACGAAGTTTTATCCTTTCTTTCCTTTTACCTACCTTCCCGGGCCTTCTTGGCAAACGAACCTTCGAACCAAATACTCCTTATCAATTTATATTTGTTTAATTTTGAATACGAATATGATACGAATTTAAAATAAAATTTAAATATGTATTTGATTAAGATTCGAATAATTAATGAATCATAAATGAATATTTGAATAATCATGTAATTTATATGGTGGAAAAATATTTAATATTTTCCGTATAAACGAATACAGGTGGAGACGGTAATCGAATTTGCAGTTATTCATTCATAGCCATAGTTGACATGTAAATAGAACTTACAAGTGGACAAGTGGTCCTATATTATTATATTATTATTATTATCATATTCCGCTTTTAACGAATGTAGATATTTTCCATATAAACAGATACGGATGCAGGCGATAATCAAATTCCTAATTATCTATTTATAGCCATAGTTGACATATAAATAGAATTTACAAGTGGGCCTATATTATTATATTAGTATTCTATTTTGAGTATTGAATTAACACAAACCTAATTTATACAATTACATATTATTAAAAATGTTAGATTATTTTATACAGAGATTTATATCAAATCATAAAAGAATAGAAAATATCATGTTAGCATGCACCAAAAGAGTATACTATACATTTTTTATGTTGTATAGATATAACATGTTAGTACCTCCCTAGCATAAACAATATGCATTTGTTTTAGATGCTAGTTATATACTCTATATTACCCAATATAAAAATGAGTTATTAAAAATTAAAATGTATCTATGTGTAAGAAAATAATATCAGCATTATAAACATTCCACTTTTTACTCTCACTTATTAAATATGTCTAAACACTTGTTATTATGAAAAAATTTGTATGAAAGATGGGACGAAAGAGTCTATATTCCAAATATTTCAAAAAGATCACCTTGACTTTTTACAATCAATAAGATATTTTGATAGTTACGCAGTATTACAGAGTAACCATATTGACATACAGAGTATAAACAAATATTGTAGATATTTGGTATATTAAAATTATATTTTAATATGAAGTAATTATATAAAATTCGGTATAACTAAATACATTTTTTTCTTAAATTATGATTAAATTTTTTAAAATTTAACAAAAATTATTCAAATAGTACTCCATATAAAAATTTTGTGTTTTCCTAAAAATTTGACGTGCAAATAAGATATTGGGCTACTCTTGACCAAAAATATTTTTGGGAAGGAGAAAAAGAAAGTCTGACTTTCCGCCTCCTCTCGTCGTCGTCATGCTTAAACTTACCAATGAAGAATGTTATGTACTCCGGGGTATCAACAGAACTCCATCCGACCATCTCTGAGAGCCCATAGCCCCCTCCCCCCCACCTCTTCTCCCTACCACCAAC